GACCTGAATGTTCAACCCCGACCGCTTCGTAATAACCTTATGCTAAGACTGCTTCTACGTCGCACAAATTATGGAGCATACGGTGCGATTTGCGGACTGCAGAGAATATTCAACAGAGTTGCATCTGTTTTCGACTTTCATCTCTCCCGTGATGCGCTTAGTCGAAAGTTTTCTTCTGTTTTTCACCGGCAGCAGTAACTGACTATAAGAGGGGGGAGGTAGCTCATCGATTCTTCCGGTTCGCCTCCTAGCATCGTGCTATAAGGTACCAGGCGATAACCAGGGTAGTTGATCGATAGCTCGATAACGTCATTTCGTTGGCGTCTGCAATGGGAAATTCTCATAGCATGCGTTGACGATGGGACGTTGTCGAGTTGTTGAATAGCAACTATCGTGGTAACTCACCGATTACCTGTCGATCTGCCAAATTTGGAAAGACGTCTGTCTCATATAATAATATTCCGCCCACTATATCACAAGAAATTGCGAGTAGCTGAGTGGAATGGAGATAAGTTAAGCATTGGGTACAGGACCAAGTCTCCCCTGGGTGGTGCCAGAAGATGAGCGCAATAGAATCATCAAGTTGCCATAAGGCACGGAATGAGACTATTGCATGGCTGGGTAGTCAAAGTCTTCCATTCGTTAGTCATTTCAGGTGGATTAGAACAGGTTTAGGATTAGGGTGGGCGTTGGCCAGATTTGGATTTTTCAGATATAATTTTAAATAGGACCTAGATTATTTAATACACTAGTAACCTCAACTTCTCTCACAATGTTTCATTGTGACTAATCAACACTCAATGGGTAAAATATCAAATTTGCGGTAAATTTGAAAAAAAAGGTAACTTGGCGTTTAGAGCGCACTGCCCACTGGACGATTCTGAAGCCTGACCAAGTGAGTGGGTTACGGGTTTATTGGATTGTACGTCATTTCCAAGTTATATATATAGATACATTCATACCATTGGCATTTTGTATTTGAGATAAGACAGAGACAGGATGCGGAGGGCCTGCTTAGGGGGAGCGTAACCCATGTTATGGCTTCCATTTATTAAATGGTTCAGATAGGCTGGAAATGATAGGTTCATGGTGAGAAAATGTACCATATGGTGCCCGTTCACTGATCAAAATTAGATTCAAATCGTCAGGCCCTGCCCTGGAATAAGGGGATTGACGATGATTTGTCAAGTTTCATCTTGCATTTGCATATAATTGTAAGTTTAGGTTTGCTTTTGTAATTGTAAGATAGATAGTTTGCCTCAATTGAAACATTGAGTTGTATAAACTTGACGAATCATACCTCTAAAATAGTAGTAGTTACAGTGCCGCATTATCTAACAACCACTGCCTGCAACTAATGTTGGAGAGGTCGGCAGGGCTGATTACGGATCAAAACTAACAAAACTCTAACACTGAAATGATCCCGAAACTAACGCTCATTCATTGCACTTTGAGTCATAAAGTAGTTTTATTTATTTTCCTACTAATCTATCTACACACTTAGTTTTTTCTACCGAGCTCGGCTGTGTGGGTCTCGGCGGGGAGGGGGTTTCGCTGAGATCTCGGCGGGAGTGACATTTGATTGCCGAGTCTCGGATAATGCCTTTTCTAATAATCTGCCTACGTTTCTTTTATTTGTTATCTACTTCATCCCTTTTTTATTTGTCTGCTCTTCTTTCCTCTTCTCTTCTTTTGTTTTGTTTGTTTACATATAACTAATACTAATACCTCCTTGTTTTCTCTCTAATTTGTCTACTATGTCCCACCATCACGATGAGAGATGAGCTACCGTACATGGTACACGCTCATATACCCTCTCAAAATAGTATGCCGCAAGTAAGTATATCACAGAGGCAACTAAAGATCCAGAAACGCTGATAACGCTGAAGATAATGACCTGTGGTGATTTATATGACTATATAGTATTATTTATTTATACTAACCTAAACACAACGTGGGGTGACCCAAATCCAAACGATCACTAACCAAAATAATAGACTTATCTTTTTTCAGCAGGTGTAATTTCGTTTAGTTCTGTTTCTCTCTTTTCAGCAAAACAACTACAAAAAAAACTCTATAACTCTTCTTTATTCTTTTAATCTCCTACTATCCCCTATAAATGTATCGGAAACTAGTGGGACTGTCTGTGCAAACAGAAACAGACCTGCTAGTGGAAGAAGGTCGTTATAACTCGCTTAACTCGTACTCGCACTCGCTTAACGGCAGATTGGTTTACAGTGGTCGACCAGGGTGTGTGCTGATAAATTACAAAATTACAATTACATCATTATTTCATACATCAGCTTGAATTGCGTTGATCGATGTTACATTTTTTTTTTTTTTTTTTTGCTGTGCACTACATCAGCCAGCAAAGTTTAACAATCCATCGTTGCTTATGCCTTTGTTGTCGTTTGGAACCAGTTTTGCGAGGTAGGCGACGATTGTGCGTATTACTCGCGTAACTTTTGAAAAGGGCCTATTTATAGCCTGAACAATACGTAAAGAGCAAATTGAAACATTTAACGTCGCGTGAAAGTGGAACTTAATGAAGGCCTAAGTACTTTTTCGTAGTTTTTAGTTTTTTGATTTGAGAGATCGTCGGTTACAGTGGCCTGCTTACTGAGCAGGAAAACGCGATCCCAGGTCCTTACATATCAAATAGATTTATGATAAAATCGCTTGTGTATCGTGTATTTTGCGAAACTCGTTGTTGTCGTTAGTTCCGGGTTTGAATGGATACAAAAATTTGAGCAACGGTATTATGTGATATGAGGGGCTCGGTGGCCTTAGAGCAACCGTTTTTGCTTACTGAGCAGAACATCATGAGTCTAATCTCAGGCCCATCCACATTCAAGATTCGTCAATCGTTTTATTTGTTAATATGACTACATGGTAATAACAGCAACTCGGTGATTAAAAAGGTGCTCGTCTGCCTAGTGGCAAACGTTTTTGCTTACTGAGCAGAAGACCGTGGGTTTAGTCCCAAGCTCCTTCGCGTTATATGATCGTTAGGACATCAATTCAGCTTATCGTTTACCAAAACGAACCCTGCTGCAAACCCAACCCTCTTATCCAACATCCCAGTGATTCCTCGTGGAAGTGCAGAGGTGTTCTCGGCTTCCATCAAAGCGAGTGTCATGTCAACACAATCCTTCCCCTTCCTTTCTTGACCTGTGTTCGGGCGCGGCCGGCGCTGGTATTGCCTAATTTAAGATCACCAGTTTTTACACATTGAGGATGATTGCTAGTCCCAAGCATTATCTATTGGTTCTCTGTGTAATTACAGCTGATCTGGCAATAACAGAGTAGCAACCGTGGGCGGTCAATCAAGCTCAAGCTCAAGCTCAAGGCAGCAGTAACTGACTATAAGATATATATTTTTTTATATTATGACCATGCTTGAATGTATTTTTTTTTTACTATAGTTGATAAGGTTAGCATCATTGGGGCTTCATCCAGCATGTTGATGTAAAAAAAAAAGACAATAAAACAATCATCCCAAAATTTACAAAATATATTTTTTCAGCCAGATTCTGAAAATTTTTAGGTTTAGTCCAACTTTTGTATGGAGGCCCACCACTGTGCGGCTGTGAGAAGCATCAATATCATCAAATATTGTCAGGCAAACTCAGCTCCTGTCATTTCGTAAAATGGAATATTGATCCGGTTGTGATACTTTACGGTAAATTTGATATTCCGCTTTCAATTATGGATTTTCCGCTGTTACAGTAGCTGTAACGCTTCAATTCTGATCATTTCAATTGAAAATGTCTTTAAAATTTTGTGTTCGTATACTGAATGAGAGAAGTAGACAAAACTTATAACTCCGACCGGCATCCCCAAGTAACCATAGGCACGTTATTTCGCCTTTTTGGCTATATACGGGCCTCATTAGAACTTGCAAACACTGGTATAGCCGTTATTCAGCTGTATTATAACGTGCCTATGGTTACTTGATCGAACGCGCTGTCTCTAGTGTGGTCTTGCTGGGCGCCTTTTTTTCGCTAGATTAACAAAACAAAGACTCAGAGTGCGACCTATCACAATAACGATCATCAAACAGCTGATGGTAGTAACGCTTTGTACATTCCTATCAATGTGCTCGTCGAAGCTCTCTCCATGACCATCCATCAAGTTGACGAAAGAAGTAAAGAGCAATTGGTGAATGTCATCTTCTGTTGTGATCCATCACCGATCTGGTCATTCCTGACAATCACGACACTAATCTGTGCTCGTTTTGAAGCAGTTGCTGCTTTGCTTGCTTATGTCAGTGTGTTGGTGAGTGAGCCCAACAGCTTCCGTTTAATGTTGCCTGCTTTGTTTGTAACTCACACAATCGCGCCTGCCGAGACAAACTTGGAATGCGTAGGCATTGTTTTCATTTTCTTCTGTCGTTTCGCGTTTTCTCATGATCGTAATGCAGAAGTCTTCACTGTTTTCGTTGTGCTTTTCATTATCAGCAGCGAGTGTAACGTTTTGCTTATGAGCAGCGACCATTACTGGTGATTGTTGTTTGTCATGGCTCTAACTCTAACTGCGTGACAAAACGATCTGTCTGCAATAGTCGGTTGATGCGAAGACGAGTGTCACGTGAGTGTTATGATATTTTGCATCACTGCAAAGACTACACTGGAGTCGCTTTTTACGCGGGTGATACGTCCCACGTAAAAAAAAACGCGTAAAAAACGGCGTAAATTCCGGAATCCGCTTAAAAAAACCGCGTAAATTCCGAAATCCACCGTGTAAAAAACCGCGTAAAAAGCGACTCTAGTGTATAACGATAAACCGCGTAAATTCCGAAATCCGCGTAAAAAAAACCGTGTAAAAAACCGTGTAAAAAGCGACTCCAGTGTACTATGGACAATGATTAGCACAGCTTTCGCCTTGTCCTGGAGAACACAGACAAAGATTTTTTTAAATAACTTAAAAACACTTTAACCAACAAACTGAAAATGACAGGCAAACCTTTTATATTATACCTATCCATTGATTCCAACTACAAATATCCAACCTATCCTAATTTTTTTACAGACTAGCTTTGCCCTTCGCTTCAAGCACTTCCTGTATCAGCTTGCCAAAATCTGCAAAGCTCTCCGTGTAGTAATCGGGCACATGGTCTTGATTCGACAGCCTCTCAACGTCCAACTTCTTCGCTCCACCGGTCAAAACCAGCAGTGTCTGAAATCCTGCCACCTTCCCAAAAGCCACATCCTGTGCAATCATATCCCCTACAAATAGCACCCGTTTGGCATCCTTCATACCGTACTGTTCCTTCAACTGCTTTGCAAGCTGATGTCCTGGTTTGCCCAAAACGATCGCCTCTCGCCCGGTTGCCTTCTCCAGTATGTCCACATAATGACCCGATCCGATCACTTCCAATTGTTGGGTAATGGATATACTGCGATCTGTCGCCCCTGCAATCAGCATACACTCTGGATTGGTTTTCAAATACAGTTCAGCTCTCAGCAGCTTCGTATGACTACAATTAAAATCGTAATCTACAATCACTGCTTTGACGGGTTTCTTATCGTGAATAACCGGAATGATAAGACGAAGTGCCTCGGGCATTGGCTCAGTCGGCTAGAGTAAATATTGCACTATTATAATGACTGTTTAACGTGCAGAACTATAACTTACGCCGTGAAGAACTTCGTAGCCTGCATCCCTCAGAGCAGCCAGGAAAGGTTCAGCGCATATCGCGTAGATCAAACCTTGAAAGTTGATCGATTTCAAGTATTGAATCACACTAACGACTGGATGAATCACGTCCGCCTCATCCACTTCGTGTCCTAGCTTTCGCACTTGTTCCTTGTAGTTCCCTAGCGTTCGAACACTGTTGTTGGAAACATAGACCAAATGCTTGCCGGTGCCCTTCAGCGCACTGATTGCCTCGCCAACGCCGTCAATCGGTCCGTACAGGTTCCAAACGACACCTGCAAAGAGTAATTGAAGAAGTCAATGTTACATTGTTCCACCTTCTCGCCGTCGTATTTACCATCGCAATCGGTCAGAACGTAATCGAAAGAATCCAGAAAACGTTGCTTATCTTCCAGTCCTAAATCCAGCAAAGATTTTGGTGGCGACGGTGACGACTGTGAACTGCTGACGGACATCTTCGCGGCTGATTGCGAACTGAATCAATCTAGCCGAGTTGCGATTGTGTACTGGGTTTGTCGATGACGGTTTACACACTGCACATATCTCATTCGCGTACACATGCGCAAGGTCGATGCGGATCACTGTATGAATACCAGGACAGAAGCTGATGCTAAAACCATTTCTTTACTATTACGTCTAAATTAGATCATCATTCCTGGTTTTGATTAATTGCTCTTTGAATTGTGAGGGGGGGGAGCTATAGCCCGCCACAGCATGAAGTTGACTATCGACTATGCTCGTGAAGAGTCAACGACGGTGTTTACAAACAGAAGGTGATGTGTACCACATATGGAGTGCAGTGGGCTGAGCACACCGTAAGAATATCAGACAACAACCCGGTGAAAATGGTTCTCAAAAACAGCCCGATTGGAATAGAGACGACTTCTTGGCCTTAGCTTGAATGGTGCGGTTAATTAGTCTAATGGGGCCAAATCACATTCGGAATATTAACGCCATCAAATAACACATTTCCCAACAGAATTCCCAATTTACACCGTTCACCATTGTTCGAATGGTCCCGGCGTGATAACGTCACACACTATTCTGCGACCACGTGCTATAGTTTAGTTTAGAGATTGTTCTCGTGCGATATGCTAGGCAAGATATAATCTTCTACACCGTCTCCAGTCTGCAATCAACCACGAAGATGTCCAAACGACTGTTGAATCTAAGCTTGGAAGAAAAGCAAAGCTTTCTGGATTCGTTCGATTACGTATTTACCGACTGCGATGGTAACAAATTGGATTGGATTTACTGGCCAAAACTCTATTCTATTTTGCCACGCAGGTGTATTGTGGAACCGGTCCGAACCGATCGAAGGCGTTGGCGAGGCAATCAGTGCGCTGAAGGGCAGCGGCAAGCATTTGGTCTATGTTTCCAACAACAGTGTTAGAACGCTAGAGAATTACAAGAACCAACTGCGAAAGCTGGGACACGACGAGAACGAAGCGGACGTGATCCATCCAGCGGTGAGTGTGATCAAGTATTTGAAATCGATCAACTTTCGAGGTTTGATCTTCGCAATTTGCTCTGAGCCATTCCTAGCCGCCCTGAAGGACGCTGGCTACGAAGTTCTTCATGGCGTAAGTTATATGAGTCGTCTAGACAAAATCTGGAAGGGTCATTAAAATAGTTCAATATTTGTTCAAGCCGGATGGACCGCAGCCAGAATCTCTCCTTCTTATCTATCCCGAGATTCACGATAAGAAACCAGTCAAAGCGGTGATCATGGATTACGATTACAACTGTAATCATTCTAAGTTGTTGCGAGCTGAAGTGTATTTGAAAACCAACCCGGACTGCGTGCTGATTGCCGGGGCCACGGATTATAGCATTTCCAATTTACTCGGGTCAGGCCACTACGTGGACATACTGGAGAAGGCAACCGGACGCAAGGCGATTGTTTTGGGCAAACCGGGACATCAGCTTGGAAAGCAGTTGAAGGAACAGTACGGCATTGAGGATGCCAAACGGGTGCTGTTCGTCGGGGATATGGTTGCACAGGATGTGGTTTTTGGTAAGGTGGCAGGATTCCAGACCCTACTTGTTCTGACCGGTGAAGCGCGGAAACTAAATGTTGAGAAGCTATCGGATGGAGACCACGTTCCAGATTACTTCGCAGAAAGCTTTGCAGATCTGGGCAAAGTTATAGGTGAGGTGGTGAAAGAGCAGTTCCAGGCAAATTAGAAAAAAAGGAAATGTTGATTCAATCTTCTTCGATTTGCATAAAACTTTGCATAATTAATAATAATATATAAATGTTGTTGTGGTCAATAATTATTAATCACATTTCTCGATGAACATTTCAAATGGTCCTATCTGCTTTGATCGATTTCTTCATCGACTTTCTCTTTTCATAACCACTGCTATGCAAACAGATTTCGCGCTAATTCTACCACATAGTTTGATAAAGAAGGTTCTTATCTAGCGTCAAATACAACAGGGAAAGTTTTGCAGCTGAGTTATTGACGAAAGAGAAAGTCGATGAAGAGAATCGATCAATGCAGATAGGACCTTTTGAAATGATTATCTAGATTTTTTTTTTCCAAATGGCGTGCTCGATACTATTAATAAATCGTAGCATAAAAACGTCGTTGATAAAATATACACGGTAAAACATAATTTAAAAATGTTGAGATATTTTATTTTAAATCTATTACAAACTAAAATAGCAACAAATTTCATTGCTGAACATTTGGTTTTTAACAAACAAATACCTCTCAAACCTGTTGTAGCAAATGCGTTTATAGTGTAGAAATTTACATTATTTATTTTTTAATTAGAATAGATTAAAAATGTTCATGACGTAGATGCTCAGATGTTCAGGAGAGTATAATTCAAGATCTGTCTTGGAACATCCCCTGCCGGATGTCGTTGCCAATCCTAGATCGCAATGCAGCCCCCGCCAGGCTGCTTATCGTCACAGTCAGGCCATCTGCATGTATTACCAGAACGATGGTGGGATGAATTCCAACATCGATGATTATCGCTTAGCGGTTTCGGATCGTTGCTTCGACGTCATCGCTCTCACTGAGACTTGGCTCGATACTCGCACATTGTCAAATCAAGCGTTTGGTTCCGATTACGAGGTTTTTCGATGCGATCGGAATCCGCACAACAGCCGCAAATCTACTGGTGGAGGCGTTCTCATAGCGGTCGGCTCTGGATTGAAGGCAAAAGTTATCGAAAACGATTCATGGAATTGTGTGGAACAAGTTTGGATTGCCATTAAGCTCACTGACCGCACTCTGTTTTTGTGTGTAGTTTACTTTCCGCTAATTGCTAATTCCGCGACTCTACGCTAATTGAATCCCACAGTCTATTCGAGCTATAATGGAGATCGCTACAGCTGCTGACGAGATGATAATCATTGGCGACTTCAATCTACCGGCAATTTCTTGGCGATCATCTTACGGTGGATTCCTGTATCCGGACCACGACCGTTCTACATTTCACTCTGGAGCTGTAAGCCTTTTGGATCATTACAGTATCGCCACTCTGAAGCAAATCAACCACGTGATTAATGAGAACAATCGTAGCTTAGACCTTTGCTTCGTCACCGCTCAGGATACTGCTCCGCATTTGTCTATGGCTGTTTCTCCGTTGATAAAGACTTTTCCACACCATCCTCCTTTAGTTATTGCACTTGAAGGCAACCAAATTCCTGAGGTCATTCCACCCCCTAGAGGTCTCCTACGATTTCCGAAATGCTACTGCCCAAACAATCTCGCATATTTTGGCTTACGTCATTGAGCGACACGATCCGAAAAAAGTCCCTAAACAAGGTAATCATCATCCTTGGCAAACAAGTGAACTCCAAGTCTTCCAAAAGAGCCGCGCTAAGAAAATACACCAACTACCACACCCTACAACTCAAGGACCATTATGCGAGGATCAATCATGCGTATCAACAAACCAGTCGCCAATGTTATCGGCGTTATCAACGAGGTGTTCAACGGAAGCTTCGATCTCACCCGAAAACTTTTTGGAATTATGTGAATGAGCAACGAAAGGAGTCTGACCTTCCATCGACTATGGTACTGAACGGCGAAGAAGCTTCATCCCCTCACGACATTTGCCAATCTGTTCTCAACCAAGTTTGCGAGTGTATTCTCGGATGAGAACCTACCTGACGAGCACGTTTCTCTAGCAGCCAGTAATGTTACAATGTCTGGTCAATCTTTGGCAGCTATCAATATCGACCTCGCTATGATAACTAGGGTGGCATCGCAACTGAAGTCTTCATTTAAGCCTGGACCTGACGGAGTTCCTTGCGTCTTTCTCAAGCAACACATCGATAGCCTCGTGGCTCCTCTCTGCCTTCTGTTCGAAATTTCCCTCTCCAGTGGGGTGTTTCCTTCCTGCTGGAAATCAGCTGAAATGTTTCCAGTGCATAAGAAGGGATGCAAAAGAAACATCGACAACTATCGCGGCATCACATAGTTGTGTGTCATATCTAAACTGTTCGAGTTGGTCGTTATGGAACCATTAGTGTCTTACTTCAAGCAGCACTTGGTTTCATGGCAGGACGGTCTACTATCAGCCGCCTTCGACAAGTTGAACCATCCTATAGTGATCGCCAAACTGGATAGGCTCGGTATAAACGGCAGTCTCCTACGATGGTTCGCATCCTATCTATCTGATCGTCAGTTGGAAGTTGCAATCGACGACTGCCGATCTCCTTTGTTCCCTGCCACTTCGGGTATGCCGCGGCCCGTTGATATTTCTTGTGTATTTCAACGACGTCAATTTCGTCCTCGACGGTGCACGACTGTCGTTCGCAGACGACATTAAAATCTATCTCCGAATCCGAGCCATCGCAGACTGCCACCTTCTCCAACTCCAACTCAACGCTTTTGCTAATTGGTGCCAACTGAACCGCATGGTTGTAAATCAAACAAAATGTTCAGTAATCACGTTCTCACGGAAGAAACATCCAATTACATTCAGTTATATCAACAATCGATTAGCTTGGGACCGAAGAGAGTGCCAGAGCTGAGCCAAAAAGTTGAGCACGTTTCTTCGGGACCTTCTAGTCTTAGACAAGGTTGCAAAGACTCATTTCAGCTAATACAATGTTTTTCTAAATTATGAAATAATTAGATGCCATGATCAAATTTTGAATTGGTAGGATACAAGAAGAGGTTGCAAAGAATGTGTTTGACATATTAAACCTGTTTATTTCACTTCATGAGAGTCACAATCAGCGATTTTTCACAAACTCACTCACTCACTCACTCACTCACTCAGCGATCAGCAAATCGCTGATTGTGACTCATAGAAAGCAAAATTTACAGGTTTTATGTTTCCAACGCATACTTTGTAACCTCTTCTTTTAAGTTACAAGTAAAACATGCCATCATACCATCTTTTGGTTTTATTATTCTGAAAAACATTATTTTAGCTGAAATGAGTCTTTGCAACCTTGGTCTTAGAGTTACCTCTATGGTAATATCCTAGAAGGCGTTGACGTACATCGTGTAAATCACATTAAGAATCTGGGAGTCATCTTAGATTGTCAACTCAGATACAGCCAGCATATCTCGTACGTGATCGACAAGGCATCCAGAACGCTCGGTTTCATTTTCAGGATAGCTAAAAGTTTCACGGACATCTACTGTTTGAAGTCGCTTTACTGCTTCCTCGTCCGGTCGGTGTTAGAATACTGCTTACCAAAACAGTGTACAAAGAGTAGAGTCTATTCAACGACGATTCATCTGGTTTGCCCTTCGACGATTGCCTTGGAGGGATCCTCATCGCCTTCCAAGCTACGAAAGTCGGTGCCAGTTAATTCACCTGGATCCTTTGTGGAGTCGAAGAGATACGACGATTGTCCGTCTATTCTATAACAAATCGACGTTAACGTTCAACCACTAGCACTCCGTAACAACGCAATGCTGAGGATACCTTTTCGTCGTTCAAACTATAGTATCATTGGGCTACAAAGGGTTTTCAAACGTGTTGCCTCCTTATTTGATTTTCACTTGGCACGCGAGACACTGCGTCAGAGATTCCGTGATATGTTTTTTTTTAAATTAGGAATTAACTTGGACTTCACGGCCTTTGCAGCTTGTTACTTCTTGACTATATTGTATTTCCTAGTAAAGGGCGAACACGGAATTATTGCGACACCGAAAATGTCATGCCAATTTTCTTATAATGTTTAGAATCAAACCAAAATTTTAGGGTAGTTTTATACATATATTTACTTCAAAAATCAAAAGAAAAGTTAATCGATGGAGCCTTGAGTGTAAAATTGAACGCATTTTCGCTTGATGCCCTCCATCAAAGTCTTTACAGTGTCATCCGGTACCAGTTTCCCAGTCTTTTTTTCCATTTTCTTAACATGTCCTTCTCGTCTTTGATTGTCTTCTTGCTCTTCCGAAGTTCCCGCTTCATTATTGCCCAGTACTGCTCCACCGGGCGCAGCTCCGGACAGTTTGGCGGATTCATGTCCTTTGGAACAAAATGGACAGAATTGGCCTCATACCACTCCAGGACACTTTTAGAATAGTGGCAGGATGCCAAATCTGGCCAAAATAGCGGAGCTTCGTCGTGCTGCTGCAAGAACGGCAAAAGGCGCTTCTCGAGGCACTCAGATTTGTAGATCTCGCCATTTACTGTGCCCTTTGTCACGAAAGGCTCACGCCTCAGTCCGCAAGAGCAGATGGCCTGCCAAATGAGATATTTGGAGGCGAACTTCGACATTTTCTTCTTCTTAAATTTGTCGTCCACATCGAACTTGCTCTTGCCGGTGAAAAACTCCAACCCCGGAATTTGCTTAAAATCGGCTTTTATATACGTTTCGTCGTCCATCACACAGCAGTCATATTTTGTCAGCATCTTCTCGTAGAGCTTCCGTGCCCGAGTTTTAGCCGTCGATTGTTGCCGCTCATCGCGGTTTGGGAAGTTCTGTACCTTGTATGTATGTAGACCAGCTCTCTTCTTTGCATTCTGGACGTAGCTCTGCGACATGCCGATCTTTTTAGCCAAATCACGGCTTGAGACGTTGGGATTTGCTTTAATCATCCGCTTCACCTTTCCCTCCGTCTTTTTGTTCTCCGGTCCCGGTTTTCTTCCAGCTCCTTTGCCGTGGTCCAACGTCAACCGCTCCTGGAACCGCTTCAACACTCTGGAGACGGTTGAATGGTGAATGTTCAACATTTTTCCCAACTGCCGGTGCGACA